GGAGTAGCATGGGGAAAAGGGAAAAAATTCAAAGATAATTCCAACACCTTTCTCTTTACCATTCTCAGGTTGAGAGCCAGGATCATGGAGATCAGACCTTGTGGATTAAGTCCTGTTGGGTGCAATCCTAGCACAGCCCCACCAGCTGTGCACGCTGGTCAAAGCTGGCTTCCTTTGATTTTCTGTAATAAAATGGCAATTGCAATATCTACTTCATGGGGTTGTTAATGTAAACAAGAATGATTAGTTTTTAATGAACATTTCTGCATAGTGACCATGATCCAGTCACTGTGCTAAAGCACTTTAATGTGTGTGGGTAGATACAAGTAGTATCTGTACACCAAACAGTCTATTCTTATATTGTTATTTACTTATTAATTATTGTACTATTTTATATTATTATTAACCTACTTTGATCCATCACTGCATACATTTGCGATTGTGTGAGTTAATACATATTAAACTACCTTGTAGCATGCCTAGCATATGGCAGGCACTAAATTGTGAGTTTGTTTTCCTTTCAAATAGGTATCGCAAATACATAAAAATATAGATAAGTTAAACAATGTAAAGAGGCTATCTGTAGTGTACATATATACTAGTATTTAGACCTGTAAAGGGATAGCAACAGCATAGTGAATTACGTGCTATTATGCAGTTTACACCAAAAGATCGGAGTGAGCACAGAGGAAGAAATAATCAGATGATGGTACACCGATGTCCACTTCTGCCCTCCCTTCTGCCTCTCTTCTTCATCGCTTCCTGTCACCTGCCCCTGAGCTCAACAGATGTCCAAAGTTATGAGTGAATGCAATGTTATTGTGGAAGATGAGGAACACTTCATTCCCATTCCTTTTCTTTCTCATACCAAGCTCTCGTTCCAAAGGTGCATAAACAAGATAATGGGTTAGTTCTTTTTGTTTTTTTTTATGTTCAGTGCTATATCACTCTGTGCTATATTGTGAGTGAAAGCTATAGTGAGAGATCGTGCGTTTGAGCTGACAGAAAGAAGCCTTGGTACACTATGCTATGAACATTCTCTTCTAATGAATGGAATGAATAGCTACCATAAAGGTAATAGAGAAACTTGTCAGCAATTGAAAACAAAACAAAAACTCCACCCTCCCCCCAAACACGCCTATGTTTACATCAGTGATGCTCCACCTGTTACTTTACTGTTAAAAACTTCTTTGAGGGAATCTCACAGTTTTTCTGCGATCTATGTGTTTAGAGACAGCCTGATGCCAGGCAGCATAACACAACTGTTCATCACAGAAGTGCTCCTTACCCAATGTATGGCACGAATAAAGAGGGAGAAAAGATTCTAACGCATATTCGACACCTAAAACGTCCTAGATACTCATTTAAGTGTGATTTCATACAATGTTATATTTTAGTTTTCCAACTACTCTTAAAGTTATGTGTGAGCCAGTGCATGAGACAATTTATATTCTCAGTACTCCTTTCTTTTCTTTCCTTGTCATCCATCATTTTATTGTAGAGAAAAGAAAATTCTGCGGCATTTGCCCTCGGCGCCACTGCCTTTCTTTCCCAGATGATGCTATCTGCCTTGATGAGATCAGACAAAACACAGTTCTCTGCTTTTCTGTTTGTTTGTTTGTTTGTTTGTTTGCTCCATTAACTCTCTGAAGATTACAGCAGTTGCCAGCTTTCTGGTCTCGGGTTCTTCATTCCTTCACTGATATCACCTCAGGCAGAGTTTTCCGTGTAACTCAGATATCTTTCTAAAGCACAGTTATCAAACGTGAGCCAAAGTACATTCTTAGCATACAAAAGGATTACCTGGGGAGCAAGTTAAAAACTCAGGTTTCAGAATCAAAGATTCTCATTCATTTGACTGGGGTGAACTCATGGAATCTAAAATTTTAGCAAGCACTGGACACTACTCTCCTGTAGGAGGTGCTTCACCTGGAGAAACAATGTTCCTAGGCTCTGGTAATGCTCTGCTGAGCTTCATATGACCACTCGTGGCTAACGGAACATTTCTGTAGCTTTCTTTTGCAGCTTTAGCACCGGGCTAGTCTTCCTCTCCACAATGTGCCCGACCATTACTCTCAGGGAATTTGACGTGCATTTTGATGAGACTTCTAATACTCTAGTCTGAAAACTCATTAAATCCCTCCTGATCACAATATTTAAAATTTATATTTCAGATTTTTGCATCATCCTGAAGTGTTCTAACATTTTACGTTTTTACTTTTGAAAACACCCTCACCATGTAAAAACATTTTATCCTAACTTTCTTTCCTCCTAACTTTTAATGCATTGTTACTCCCAGTCTATAATAAAGTCTTCAGTCTTTCAAACTGCCCTATTTATCCAATCAATCATTGTAATGGAAACCTCCAATTATTCAATGCCTATTGTGTGTTAGGCCCTGTCCTCAGCATTTAATTGATATCATTTTATAGCTACCCTGTGAGATTATTAATATCATTTTACAAACGCAAATAAGGTTCAGGAGATTCAGTAAAATATCCAAGAATACAAAGTTTGTGAATAGAAGAAACTGCCCTGGCTGGTGTAGCTCAGCGGACTGAGTGTTGGCCTGTGAACCAAAAGGTTGCCAGTTTGATTCCCAGTCAGGGCACATGCCTGGCAACCACACATTGATGTTTCTCTTCCTCCCTTTCTCCTTCCCTTCCCCTCTCTCTAAAAATAAATAAATAAAACCTTTTTTTTAAAGAAAAAACTAGATTTAAAACTGATTGCATGACTGTAAAAACCCCTTATACTGACCGACATAACATTTTTACTCAACTTACATAAAATGGTCAAGACATTCGTTTTTCTTGCCTCTTCTTGACTTTCCGTGGTACGCACCCTCTCTTGCCTATCTATTTTTACTTAAGTATACCATTTATCTGGAAGGCTTTTCAAAATCAGTGAATAAATCAAGACTCTAAATCTTTCTTTTTAATATTTGAAAATCATCTTGTTTTTTTCTTCTACTTGGCACTCTTCATAGACCGACTTCTGTGAACTATCTATATGTTTCCCCCAAACCAGAGTTTGAAGTCCTGGAGCAAGAAGCAGGTGCTAGAGGAAGAAAAGCTTGCTCTGTGGCACAGGTGGCAAACACAAGGGCCGCGAGCCGGGCCCTCCACCTTGTCTCTCCCCCACAGCAGTGCCGAGCTCCTTGCCCCTAGTTAAGGAGTAGTTACATTTATGCAGTCCTAAAATGACATCCTGTGCTTTGAAGGCAACTGTGAGGCTGATGTGGCCCCTGGTGAAAATGAGTTTGACACCCCTGTTCTAGGGAGTCAGGCAGACCTTTCCACATTTCACCATTCCAGAATTTACTTACCATGCAATCTGAATGGCACACAATATCTCTAGTCCTTCGTTTATTACCCACCAGACATATTGTCACCTGCCTATGGTCATGGAGAGGATTAAACAATGTCTTATAGTTGATGTGCCTGGATCAGCACCTTAAATACAGCTGGTACAATACATTCTGAACCATAACCTGCCTGCCACTGATTCCTGCCTCTCACCCCTAATACTAATCAGCAAAAAGGAGGTCACATCTATCACATGCAGCAAAAATGTACGAAAAGTCGGTTTTAGCAGGAGCTGTAGAAACAGCTTCTTGTAGATATGGTGCGAGAAAAATCCTTCATCTCAAACTCATTGCTTAATCCTTAAGGGAATATATTTTGTTTTAAATTAGACTTGATATATTTGCACAATATTTTCTTAATTAAAGTAAATAAATACAGTTTTGACTTTACAAATTCGGAAAAAATCTCTTCAATGTAATCACATTTTATTTAGCAGATTTATTTGAGTTAGTAAGAGCTAGAGGGTTTATGATTAAGTTCTATATTCATATACTTTTCCAACAAAATTAGTATGTATAATATAAATCTGTTATACCAAAGTGCTGGTCACATCTTTGCAAGAAATTTAAATGTTTTCCCATAACTGAGCGTGTAATAATTTCAGAAGTCAACCTAACCCAGAGTATCTCAACATGAGTGTCAATGCTGAGTTAATAATTTTGTGCCAAATAACAGGAGAATCAGCTATTTCCCAAACCGTAAAATTGGAGGCTTTATTAACCCACTGACAAATTTTGTATAAACTATATTGTACAAGGATAATTTTATTTTCTAGTTATATCAGTTTTGTATGCTTACTATATCTGAAATTTCTTTTAAAACTATAACATCATTGCTTTATAATTGTTTTCCAAGAAAAATAGAGGGAGTTTTCAGTCGTGAGTGCATTACGTGAATTACACAGCTGTGAGTGAACACGTCTCACTGGCCACATGGAACTTCTCCTCATTCAGGCAGCTAACCTAAACTAACCCCCCAAATACACCTAGTTTCTCAAGGCCAGATTCAATTTCTCCAAAAGGTTGCTTGTGTATATCAGGGTCCTGCCCCTCTTTTCTGAACATTTTTATGCCTTCCAAGGTTGTGGCACTATGGCAGATTATTTTTCTCTTGTTATCATGGAATAAAACCCACTGAAAGCCTGAAGCCAATATAACTCATTGTTATATGATTTTTCAGGGACAGAATAACACTCAGTTCTATTAAAAAACAGCCTTTCAATGTCAGGAGTCCAGAGGGTTTGTTAAAATTGGACTTAGCCTGGTAGTCCAGAGGAAACAGTGTGGCTAATATCCTACCACCATTTGGGAAGAGACATTGTGTTGTTTGTTGCTGGAATGGTTTACAAGAATGATCTAATTCCAGAGAAGATTATTTGCTTCAGCTACAGCGTTCAAAGGCTAGAGTTTGGTTCTTCTTCTTTTTAAAATTTTAGTAATGGGAGTGTAAAAGTTACATTTTCAGGATATAATCTATTTATATTTTTAGGGATATAAGAATGGTCAAGATTGGGTAACTTTATATTCTAACACTTAGAACATGACTGAATAATGTTGTATTTTTAAATACATAGAGATTTTTTAAAACAAAATAAATAATGCAGATGCTTATTCAAATAAATAATATCTTTACCCAAATATGTGCCTTAATTCTGTAAGTTCTTTTTCTTTGATCTGAAGGTCATCTTCTAATCTTTCTATTATGATGACATAAGATTCACTGACCTTCTTCTTCCATTCATCTAAAAAAAATGAAATAGATTTATAGCTGTGTTTTGCAAAATGTAGACACAGATCATAACATAGAAGTAATTAAAACTCTGTTTTTATGCTAAAATTCTACAATGCTTTATTTAAATTACTGTGAGTTTAAAATGAAGATGTTTATATTTAAAATGCAATCATATGGAATTGTAGTAATTAAGAACCCATTTGATATAAGATAATATATTTACATAAAAGAATATTTTGACTTATTTGATTTGATTTAATTGCATTTTAATTATAGCAATCTCCAATTTCTAGAAAAGAGCTTTTAGGTTCTAAATATGAGATACTTAAGATATAACTCTAAAATCCCTATATTCAGCAGTATTATAATTTTTTTCTATGACATTATACCTAGGAACTAATAATACATTCTTGTAAGAAATTTGTTTTCTTTAAAGATTTTTGAAAAAGGTACTTTGAATTCAGTTAATCTTCACAACGCTTTTGTATAATACATTGTTTTATTATTTATGGAAAATTAACAGATATTCTAAGGAAATGTTAATGATTATAACTATCATTTAACCCTGTTACATTTAAAGATATAAAATAATTACCAGTGCAAGTCTGGGTTGGTCTAGATTTATAATTTCCCATTTGTTAGATGATTCTTCTTTTCCCCAGTGCAGTTCCTCACGTCACAAGATTCCAAGTTCAAGTGCAGTGACAGTCCAGTAGAAAATACTTTGATAGTCAGGCTAAAAATAAGCAGAGTGCCGAATGGAATGTCATGCAACAATGACGAAGATCAAAACAGTGTGACTTCCAAGGGTAAAATCATAAAGGAAACTAATCAGCCTGTTGAAAAGAGCTGTATAACAAATAAATTGTAAGTGTTTCAATAAAATTATTTGCCTCCATCAGTTGATTACCTAACCTTATATACCTTTATGGACCATTTCTTAAATAGGTGTATCTAGAAACTGGTTCAGTTACATATAATGTCTATAAAGAGCTATTGGAACCACCTAGGATCTTCTTTCAGGATCATTTTCTCCTGAGCCAAAGTCATGGCAGTAGGAAAAGAGTTACTGGTAATAGAATTTACCTCTATACTCGTATATAAACAATGAAAAAAGGGGAGGGATTTGGAGGAACAAATAGGAAGGACACAGGGACGAGAACTAAGGGGTGGAGATGGGAGGGAGGTGGGGAGCATGGGGTGGGGGGGCTGGGATGGGAGAAATAGACAAAAAACTGTACTTGAAAAATAACTAAATAAAATTAAAAAATAATTAAACAATGAAAACCCATATCCTATGGCATGTTACTAATGGAATGACTATAAGCTCAGGATACAACGAAAAACCCAGAAGAAAAAGTTACATGATTTTTAATACTTCTTTTTTTCAAAGCTTTATTTTATTGTTGTCACTATTATAGATGTCCCCATCCCCCACTACTTTGCCCACCTCTAACAAGGCTATGTCCCCCTTTTCTTCTGGCTGTCAACACACTGTTGTCTGTGTCCATGGGTCATGCATATACATTCTTTGCCTAATGCCCTCACCTTCTTTCATTCAATCCCCCATTCACTCTCCCCTCTGACAGCTGTCTATTCCAAGTATCCATGACTCTGTTTGTATTTTGTACATCAGTTTATTTTGTTCATTAAATTTATACACTTCTTTTCTATAATGTAATTTTATCTAGAAAGTATAAATTTTAATCTTGAAGTTTATCTTCAGGGGCCATAGTTTGAATGTAATAGGTATAGATTTCATAGCTGTTATAGTTGAGTGTTCAAGTAACTATTTCTTTTTAAAGAAAATGCGTAGATAACTTTGATTCCTCACAAATTTTACTCAGCAAAAGTAATTTAAGTTCTGGAGGTGGGGCTTCAATACTGATCAAATATGATGGGGGACCCAAAAGACCCCCAGAATTATCTTCTGGGGACAGACTCCCTTGTAGTATAGCCTTCCTCACCTAGGTGAGTGTTTGAGGAACACATCTGTATAAGTGTGCCAGCTGGTGTTACTGTGAGAGGCTACATTGGGCTTCAGTGGATTTTTCTGAAGACTCTTGCAACGCCATTTGCCTATTTCCTGCTGGGTGATTTATGAGTGGCCCCGCCTGCACTGCATTGAGTGTTCAGCAGTTTTTGACAAAAAAAAAAATGGCATGACCCCTGTGCCCTACCCTCTCTATTCTTCACCGTATCTTACCCTAAGCAACTTTGTTTTGTTTCTCTGGATGAAAAAGTCCTCAAAGAGATGTGATCTGCTGATGTGGAAGAGGTGAAACAAAAAAAAAATGGTAGAAGCACTAAAAGGCAACAAAATCGACAAGTTCAAAAACTGTGCTGAGCAGTGAGAAAAGCGTCTCAGTAGGTGTACTGCATCAATCAAGTGCGGAGTACCCTGAAGGAGACTGAAGTTTAAACATGTAAGAGTAAATACACTTGTTTATATAAATAAATTCTAGGTTTTTTGTGTCCCCCTGTTAACAATGAGAAGAGAGAGAGAGAGACCTGAGCCAGGAGGCCTTTTTTCCCTGCCTCTGTTCTTGTCTCACTGCAAGAGATGAATTAAAGCAAGAGACAAATGTATAGTGGAAACAAGATAGTTTATTTATACACTTGAGCAAAAGCTACAAGTAGGCGCTTGGCTAATCTGAGTGCCCCAACTATTGGGGTTTGGGGCTTATGTACCTCAGCTGGCTTCCAGATACATCCCTCCTTCTTCCCTTCTAAATCCTGGGAATAATGTACAGCTACAGGGCTTTCTTTCTCTGTTAGTAAAAGTTCTTTGTCTTAGTTAGTAAAATTGCTACAGATGCCCCCTTTTCCAGTGTAGAATCTCAAGGACTACCCCGCTTCCTCCTGTTTGTGATGTTCAGGACACCCAGCGATCTTCGTGAGACTGTTACAGAGGCCCCTTTCTCAGCACAGTCTCAAGGACTCTTTTCTCCCACTGTGCTCTTTCCTTCCCTGCCCAGGACACCAGCAATCTTGCCAAACCGAGCTCAGCGCTGCTGAGTTAATTGGTGAGACATGTTTCCCTTTTTGCTTCTAGTCTCCTGTGTTGAGGTCTTTGTTAGATTGTAATGGTGAGGCCCCTGACTTTATTCCTCCTCTTAGGGCTCATTCCTAGCCACTACCTAACACCCCCTTGTATAATTAAAGAAGTAGGTTATCTTGACTTAATGGAAATCTCTGACCTTCCCTAAATACAACTCTTCTTATCTTTCCTCATCTGTACCTACTGCCCTGGATGTTGATGTCTTCTGTACTTTGGGGTTCTCTGTTTACTTGGTCTATGCATTCTGTTTTCTTTGCTTGAAGGCCAGACATCGTCAGTTGTACTAGCTTTCTTTCAGAATTTTGTGACCCCCATCTCCTCAGGTCAGAGTCTTTGTATTCCTCAGGAATTCTGCCCTCAGGACCACTGGACTGGCACCTGACTTCTCAATGCTTTTCTGTCCTGAAGATCATACTAGATAGTTTTCTTTTAAAGGCTTGCCATTTCTCAAGGCTGTATCCTAGAAAGTAATTCACAAGCTATCTCTTCCTCAGATGTCCTTAAAAGCAACCCATGGTTGTCACATCATTAATCCAGAGTGACAGGGATGAGAGGCAGGCCTCTAGGCCTTCCGGACAACATCTAAGTGTGTGTATTTTTCTCCACCTTTCTTCCCTTATTTCTCTCTCCACCACCTAAGATCTTCGACTGGTGTATTGTGTGCTTGTGTGTATCACCTGTATCGATGAAGGAAAAGCTAGCTCATACCATTTTGCATTGTTTCTTCAAATGTCCTATTTGGGACATGACATACAAATGGATGCACACATTTTTAAGATTTTTCCTTTTGATTTTCAATTTTTTTTGTTTTGCCCCAAAGGTTAGCTTTTAAAAATGAAAGCTTTAGTTGTCAAAGCTACTTATTTCTGTTATGAGTTTGAAAATCCAATCGGCATCTCAACTGAGTTTTTCCACACCCTGAGGCAATAGTTTTTGCTCAAAAAGGGAGAATACCAACATAAAAATGTATGAAATGATAATATTAATACCTAAAATATTAAACATCATCGAACTCCATAAAAATGTCCTAGTTTTAAAGGCACAAAATCTACAAGCCCGTTTTAAGAACGGGGATTAATCCTGCCGAGTGCCTTTAGCAAGGTGACGGGATGGCTGAAGCAAGTAAATGACGCGGGATGACTCTCCTGCTTCTCTTTCTAAAGAATGCTGAAGGGGGGAAATGGGACAACTGTAATGGCATAATCCATAGAATATATTAAAAAGAAGAAAAGAATGCTGGAGAGAATCCACATGGAAGCAGGGAATGTTATCCCCAGTACTCAGTACCTTTCTGGAAAAATTACTTCTCTCTGCCCTAGGTTGGCCATATGCTCTACACTGAATTCTACTCATCCCAGTCCTGAGAATTCCAGAAGTGTGGAAGACATTTTAATTCATATATTATCAAAAGCACAACCTAATTACAAAAGTACCTATCTTCCCAAACTTTGGATGGAGCCAAGGTTTCTGTTTGTTTACGAAGTGCATTTCACACTTTGTAAATAAACAGAAACCGGGGCCCCATCATCAGAAATTCTGATTGAAAAGATCAGGAGTAGGGCTCAGGAATCTGAATTTTAACAGATACTAATGATTCTAATGTAGATACTACTTGGGACACACTTTGAGGGACACTATTTTAAGGTTGCTTAGTGGGAGATGCCTACTTACTTAAAGGTTTTTGAGTCTTCAAATCCCCTGTAAGAGTAGAAAGGCCTGGGGTAAAGACAAAAAGATTGTTTCGTGTTTTTAAAGAGTTCTATCCCGTGGTAGCATTGGGGCAGTAGATGATGGGTTTGTGCATGAAGAGTCCCGTATTTTAAAGGTGATTCACAAAAAGTGGAAGCAACCAAGGTGCCCTTTCGTAGGAGAATGGATAAATAAACAAATTGTAGGTATATTCATACCGTAGAATATTATTCAGCAATAAATGAAATACCAAACCAAGAAAAGTTATGGAATAATTTTAATTGAATAATGCTAAATGAGCTAAGCCTGTCAGATAAGGCTCCATATTACATAATACCAACCATAGGGTATTTTGGAAAAGGCCAAACTATAGACACAATAAAAACATCAGTGGTTTCCTGGAGGAGGGGAGAAGCGAAGGCATGAATAGTTGGAACACAGGCAATCTTTAGGCTACTGATACTATTCTGCAAGAGACAGTAATGGCACATTATGCATTTGGAAAAAACCTCATAGAACCATAAAACATGAAGACTTTAATTAATAATAATGTATCAATATCATTTCATCAAGTACCAAACAAATATAAGAGTTAATAGTAAGAGAAACTGGGGAGGGTTTTGGGTGGGGAAAAGAAGGAGTGTATGGTAACTGTACTTGCTGCCCAATTTTTCCATAAATCTAAAACTGTTTTAATAAAAAGTGTATTAATTTTTAAAACACCAAGGGAAAATATAAAATGATAAATAAATATGACCAAAATAGTATTCTTTAACAGAAAAATTTGAATTTTTAAAGGAATATTTATAGCATAAAAAAGTCTTTTCTAAAGGGCTAAGTACTAGTAAGCATTTTTGTTCTTTTATGCTTGCTTGGTATTTTTTTTCATTCAAAATGTCAGGGTAGATTTAGTAAATACCTTATTTCTTCAACTATTCATTTTTTGATCAACTTTCATG